ACTGATCTACTGAACACGAGGTCTTAAGAAATGACAGCATTTTAAAAAATGATGTTTATCTTCTCCACAGATGAATATTCAACTGAAACAAGGTACTGCACACCTACAGCCAGGGTATGTGATCAGTACAATCACATAGGCTCCCACACTCAGAAGTGTTTGGGGTTAAATGCTCTGTGGTCACTGTATTGAAATCCTTAGTAATTCTATCTGTGAATTTGTATTTTGTAAGTGAAGTACAATGGGACAATGGAGCATGACCCAGGAGCTTATAGCCCTGGCACACAGGTGGTCCTGCTTCCCTGATGCCTCTTGGAGATGGATTTTCATCCACAAGCCAAACCCAGACCCTACCCGGACACCTCTTCTCTGCTCCTGCCCCTTGACTACCACAGCAACTGGGCCACATTGGTGGAGGGTGGCTTCAGTTTCCTTATTGTATTCTACCCCCAGTGGGTGCCTAGGCACAGGAAAGGTTTTAGTCAGGCGTGTGTATCACAGGGTGCATCATAGGGTAGGGCAAGACAATGCCAGTCTCTGCTAGAAGTTCGTAGTATCGCAGTGTGTTTAGTGGGAAACTGTAGGGACCCTCCTGCCCACTTCTAATCCAGGTATTGGGAGATTGCAATTTTTTGAGGGTTACCTATCCACTTTGAGTTGGAGCAAGAGGTCCATATAAATAGGAGATTGGAACATCCCACCCCAGCTGGGGATCCACATTCCTTTTGAACTGAGCCCTGCAAATTATGTAGCCTGCCCTGTCTATGGCTCTCTGATGTGTCTCTTTGAATATTGTGTCTCTTTGAATATAGTAGAAATGTCAAGTGATAATAAAAATGTGACATTAATATTACCTCCAAGGGTGCTGAGTGCAAGACACTAACAATTTAATAAGTTTGAGCTTTTGCATTGACCTATGTTAATGTCTGATTTCATGCTATTTTGCATGGCAAGGGAAGTTTTTCAGAATTCATTTGATTGCAAGATCAATGTGAAAATGCATTATCTGCCTGCCTTGAGCATGGCCAACTGTTGACCTCTCCAATTAAGTAGACCTGAGAATGAAAATTCAATTACAATGAACAAACGTTTCTTGAACACTTTCTGTGTGTGAGGCCCTATGCCAGGCCCTGTGAGGAACATGCAGATGTAAGAGATTTTTGCGATTTGGGGGATGCTTGCAAGTAAGTTGGATGAGGCACAGATACATGCATGGATGACTATGGTATCACATGCTTTCTTAACTTAGGAAAGCAGAGGAAATAGAATTAGTGAAGCTGGACTGTGTGTATAGCAGGCATTGCTGGTTTCTTGCCATATGTTCATTCTCTTTCTATGGAACTAGAACCCTAGTCCTAGTTTTTTTTTTCAGGGTCTTTCCCTTGGGACACAGGGTCTATCTCTAGCTCAGCCATCTTGATTAATTTAGCCTTTATGATAACCCCATGCCTCTTGTCAGTGATTGGTTTAGCGATGGGTATGTGACTCAAGTCTGGCCAATGAAACATAAAGGCAAGTCTCTGGGTTACTTTTGGAAAGGTTTTCCTGCAGTACAGAGAGCTTCAGAGCTTCATGGTTAAGGACACAGATTTTGAAGTGAACTTCCTGGTTTTTAATCCTCCAACCACTGCTTACTAGTTGTGTGTCATTAGAAAAGTTTCTCAGCCTTCCCATCTGTTAAATGGGGTCGTTGTGAGGATCAGAATTAGGTAACATTTGTAAAGCATTTAGATCAGTGTCTGACACATAATAAAATCGCTATCATGATTTTAAGAGGAAATACCAGAAGTGATAGTTCTTTTTATCACTGTGAATGTTACCGGGACTGGATGTGACCCATGTAACTTCCATGATCATTTTGTGCCTATGACTGGGTCTGGCACAGGATGCAAAAAAAGGAAAGAACCTCTGTCTTTGATGAAATAATTGAGCCACTGAGTTATCAATCTTAGAGCCCACTGTATCCCAGGGCTTCTTGTAATATGATATGATACATTTCCTTATTGCTTAAGGTCTCTTCAGTCAGTCAGGGTTTTGTGTTATTGCAGCCAAAGGCACAATTTGACTGCTATAGCAATTTAAAGGTGTGTGTCCAGGATTTCCTCAGTCTGTGTGTCTTTAAAGTCCTGCTGTGTGTGTCCAAGCTGCATACCCTACAGGTGGGCAGCCACAGAGCAGTTCCTCACACCACTTCTGCCATCATCACTTCCTGCTACAAGTCTTCATAGTTCTGGCCTTAGCTTAATTATGACTAGATAGTTTTGTGAAAGACTGAGACTTCCAAGTTTTCTTTAAATCCAAAGCTACTCTTGATATTCACAAGTGTTATTAGTCATGGTTTCCCAGAGAAACAGAACCAACAGGATATGCATATAGTAAGTGATTTATTACGAAGAATTGGCTCACACAATCACGGAGGTTGAGAAGTATCTCAGTCTGCCATCTGCAAGCTAGAGATCCAGCAAAGCCAGTGTTTGCTTCTAGTTTGACTCCTAAGGCTTGAGAACCAGGGGAGCTGATAGTGTAAATCCCAGTCCAAGGGTGGGAGAAGACCAAGACTCAGCTCAAATAGGCGGGCAGAAAGCAATTTCTCCTTCTTCCACCTTTTTTTTTTCTGTAAAGGCCTCCATTGGTTGGATTAAACCAACCTATATTAGGGAGGGAAGTTTACTAAATCCACTAATTCGAATGCTAACACCATCTGGAAATACCTTCATAGACACACCAAGAAATAAGGCTTATTCTGGGCACTCCTGCTGGAGTCAAATTGGCACATCAAATTAACCATCTTAATGAAGGATGTACTTTGAGGTCATTTTCTGATTTGCAAATACTACAGTAACATCATCTTTCTCTTAAAATATAATAAAGTCATACTTTAATAATTAATCACATTTGATTCTTAGCAATTCTATAGATGCAGAGTTGGAGTAATTAGTAAACTTACTAGATTCCCCCACTGGAATAAACTCCACCCAACATTATATCACTTTTATGGTAATATTTACTAAGAGCTTACTTAAGTTTTCAAAACTAAGGTGAAGATGATAAATAGCAGCTTTTAAAGAATATGTCAGTGGAGTTAAACTTTAGGGGAGTTATTGCTTGCAGGGCGATGCATCCTCTGAATGATCAACAAAAAGTCAGTAATTTCCCCGTACTTACCTTGTAGCATATATCTATGTAAAATTTGTGCTTCAGCAAAAATGACAAATTCATAAATATTACAGATCTTCAGGATTGTCCAAAGACAGGGAAATAATATACGTTTTTGCATCCTTAAAAGGAATAGACTTCATCTCTTATGCCAACTTCTATGGGTAGAAAATGACTTCCTAGAGTACAGGGCTGAGAAGGACTATGAGACCACATCAGGGCTCAGCAAGAAAGAGTCCTGGGTTGGATTATGAATGTCTGCCCTGGGTGAGGGTGGAGGCTGTGGTGGCAGCCATATTGAATTTCTGCAATCCAGGGTTTATAGTTTCTGCATATCATGCTTGGAAGGAAATTAGAACATTGGCAGGTATGATTCCATAATTCTAGTTACTCTTAACTTAGGATCAATTTATTCATTTAATCAATGTACATTTATTGAGCACTTTCTATGCGTCAGGCAGGCAAAGAGGCATTGTGGGAAGTGAAAAAATGAATTGGACACAGTTCCAACCTGTAGAGAATTTAAGTCTAATAAAAGCGACAGATGTGTGCATATTTATGGCATGAAGTAATAAAATGCTACAAGAAAGGACTAGATAAGGATAGGCATCGAGGATCTGTCAAAGGTGGGAAAGAGTACTTTTAGTGAGTGTGGGAGGTGGTCACCAAGGTGTGCTAGTGAGGGTATATGGAAACTGAGCCCTGCAGTGATGTAGGTAAGATTGGTCATGTGGATCAAGGGGGAACACTGTTTCAGAATGAGTGGCTGGAATGAGCAAAAGCACCAGAGTGGAAAGCTGAAAGCTCTGGGTGACTGCCTGACTGATGAGAATATGTAGCTGCTCTTTATTCCGGGTCTCCCTACAGAGTGAGCAGCTTGACTGGTGGGCTTCATTAGATTGTTGTGCTGATGTGACATCCATTTTTATAAGAGTTGTTTGGACCAGGGGAAAACCTGCTCTTTGGAAAGATCATCTTTTATCACTATTTGACGTGTGACATATAACAAATGTCTTAAAGTAAAGGAGAGGCCTCACTGCTTTCTCACATGATACATTTTTATTGTAAACCTAGGAGAACTGACAAAGGCGCCATCTTTATTTTCTTAACTACATAAAGACTCATCAACTATTACCAATGAAATGCATTCCTGACATCATATTATCCCATAACATGAATAAGGCAAACATTCTTTTTTTTTTTTTTTTTTTTTTGAGTTGGAATCCCACTCTGTTGCTCAGACTGGAGTTCAGTGGCCGCTCCCAGCCACTGCAGCCTCGACCTGCTGGGCTCCGGCGATCCTTCCGCCTCAGCCTTCCAAGTAGCTGGAACTACAGGCGTGCGCGCTACCACGCCCAGCTAATTTTTTGATTTATTGTAGAGATGAGATCTCGCCAAATTGCCCAGGCAGGTGTCGAACCTGTGGGCTCAGGCAGTTCACTCACCTGGGCCTCCCAAAGCGTGGGATTACAGGCTGAGCCACCGAGCCCGGCAAGGCAAACATTCTTAACACATTGCTGAGATAGAAACTAGCTGTTGATTTGTTGAAAATATTTGCAAAAATAGTCAGATTAAAATTGAAAATAGAAGATCACTCTCAGCATGCTTTGATATCAGTCATACATACTGCATACATATAAACGTGAGGTAGGGTTTTGTAAAATTTCTTTTAAAATGCTTCAAAAATTAAAACAAGCTATTTGCTAGAATAATAATAAAGAGGAATAAACAATGAAAGGAAATGTAATCTTCAGGCACATGCAGAAAGATATAAAAAGCCCAATCCAAGAAGCATCAAGAAATAGACTTGTCAATAAAATTAAGATGCAAATTTTAGAGTTAGAAAAAAAATTAAATAAACCTAAACATCCTGGTAAAGGGTAGAATGCATAGATCACGAAGTATGAGCTTGGATGTCATTGAACTTCCCAGGCCTTCATTTTACTTATTACTTGACTTGTTACTGTCTTCTAAGCAAACCTAAAACAGAGAAGGTGATTCTATGACATTGAAGTAATTCCAATCAGATCCAAAGCTATACACAAGTTTTGCTTTCATGTCTTCGCCTTCCCCTCCTGTCCTCCTCCCCCTTCCTTTTCCCTCTCCCATGCCTTTCCCTGGCACTTTTATGGGCAGCCTTAAATCTATATTTACCCACTATATTTAGTGCATTTGATTATGCATAGCCTAAATTCAGATCTGAGACGATGATCCAGATTTTTGTTCACTGAAAGAACTTTTTTTCTTTTTTATAGGTTTATAGCAAAGACTAAGCACTAACTTATTTTTTGTCACTCAGTTGGCTCATTTTGCTTCAGGCCCTTCCCCTTCCTGTTCTCTTCTGGAAGGCTCTGCTTGTGCATCTGCCCATGCTATCTCCTTCTTGACATTTAGATCTCCACTCAAATGTCAACTCTTCAGAGGACCCTCTGGGACTACCAATCCTCCTCCAGTTCTGGCCTTGTCACTATCTAACATGTGACTTTTTTCATTTCCTATAATTTATTCCTGTAGTGCCTTTTAGGTAAGTTTTCATGTAATAAAATTATTTTGCATATGGTAAAATCCACCCTTTTAAATGTATAGTTCTTTGAGTTCTGACAAAACATCCAGCCAAGTACTGCTACTACTACATCAAGATATGGAAAAGTTCCATCACTCACCTCTAAAATTTACCATGAAGACTCATCAACCATTGTCAATGAATAACTTTCCTGATATCATATTATTTCATAATATGAAAAGGGCAAACATTTTTTATAGTCAACCCTTCCCCCAATATCAGCCCTTATCTGTTTTCTGTATCTAGAGTGTTACTTTTCTAGAATGTATATGAACTGAATCATACAGTATATACCTTTCTGAATCTGGCTTCTTTATCTGGGTATAATATGTCTGAGACACATCCATATCGTTATATGTGTCAGTACTTTCTTTCTTTTCATCACTGAATATTATTCCATTAAATGGATGAACTACAGTTAATTTATTCATACTACATTTGAAAGGCATTTTAGTTGTTTCCAGTTTTTATTGATTGCAAATAAAGCTGCAGTAAACTTTCAAATAAGTGTTTAGTGTGAATGCAAGTTTGCATTTGACTTGAGTAAATACCTAGGAGTGAGATTGCTGGGTCACATGGTAAGTGAATGTTTAATTGTATAAGAAACTATCACTGTTTTCCAAAGTGGCTATAGCATTTTGTATTCCTACCAGCAATGAATGAGAGTTCCAGTAGTTCTATATCTTTGTCAGTACTTAGCATTGCCAGATTTTTGAATTTTATCAATTCTTGTATGTGTGTAGTGGTATCTCATTATGGTTTCAATTTGAATTTCCCTAATGATTAATGATTCTGAACATTTTTTCATGTGCTTATTTGCCATTTAATCTTTTTCGTAAAGTATTTGCTCAAATATTTTGTCTTTATTATTATTTGGCTTTAATTTTGAGTTGTTTCTTATTATTGGACTTTTTAAAGAGTATTATATCACAAATTCTTTTTGTATCCTGGATATACATTCTATTTTTCAGGTGTGGGACTTCCAAATAATTTCACCCAGTGTGTGACTTTCCTTTTTGCTTTCTTAATGTGTCTTTTAAAGACCATCAGTTCTGAATTTTAATAAAGTATAACATCATTTTTTTCTTTTGAGTTTTTGGGATCATAGCTAAGAAATCTCTGTCCAACCCAAAGTCCAAGAGATTTTCTTTTGTATTTTCTTCTAGCAGTTTTATCCTTTTAGGTTTCACATTTTAATCTATGATTTCTTTTGAATTCTATAGATGGTATGAGATATAGATTAAGGTTCATTTTTTAAAATTACATACTGATAGCTGAGCATTCCTGCACTGGTGTCAAGAGATTTTCACTTTCCATTGAATTCTTTTTGCAACATTGCCCAAAAATAGTTGACCAAATATGTTAGGGTCTATTTCTGAACTTCATTCCATCCTATGACCTACATGTTCATCCATTCATGGGTACTGCACAGCCTCGATTACTGTAGCTTTACCGTAGTTCTTCCAACTAGGTAGATATTACTCTTTTTATCTTTTTTCAGAATACTTACCACTATCTGAAATTACTTTGCTTACTTTTTTGATGTCTGTCAGGAGATATCAAGCCATGAGACTCTCTAGAACCATGAAACTCAGGAGTTTGTACCCATCTCATTGTCTCAGCACCAAGAACAGTATCTGCTTAATTGCTTAACAATTGCTTAATAAATTGGGTGATGAAAAGCAGAAAGTTAAGAGATAAAAAATTTAAGTTGAGAAAATGAAAGGAACTTAGTATTTGGGGGGAAAGAAGGATCAAATTGCTTTCTGAGAATCTGTGACTATAATAGAGACTTTGCTGGTGGTGCTAACATGGAAGAGCAAATTCTCTTCTGGCCATGGCATTTTGATCACAAACTTAGTTCTTTTAGAACATATCAGGAACTCTATGGGGCGGCATTCACTCATTCATCAAACACTTATCTAGCACCTTTGTGTAACACTGTATTACCAAGGACGGTAGATAAGGTCTTGTGCTTAAAGTATGAGGGTCCTGAACAAGTAAAACAATAATTGAGACCGACTCATCCAGGTGCTATAAAAGTGGTATCTGCGCAGGTCTTTTTGAGTGATGTGGGAGAGCCATCTAACCCAGCTTGGGAAAGCATGGCAGGAGAAGCCAAGCTTGATGAAGCCTTCAAGTTTTAATAGGAAAATTTGAGCCCCAGCTTCCCTTTAAAAGGGTCACTTTGTAGCAATGTTCCACAGGTTTTTTTCTGGTGTTCTAAAGCAGCTCCAGTTGTTTCTGGGTTTGGATTATTGGTGATGGTTGTTCCATCACTCTGCTCTAGGTCTCCCAATAAATGCTGTTAGCACCTTCTCACTCTCCTCCATGACACTCATTGCAGTTATGGTAGCAGAACTATGCATATAGCTATTGGATGCCCACTTCCCTCCAACTATAATATGAGTTTCCTGGAGGTAGGAACTGCATGTGGCCTAGTTCCTGCTGCATTTCTGCTGCCTGGCACAGTGAGTGACCCAGCCAGATCCTGTGACAGACTGTGTGGGGCCTGAATGATGAAACACTAGTTTCAAGGTTTGTCTAAAACCTGCTGAGTTATCTGAGAGCCTTTCTGATGAAGTAGTTTTGTCCTCTTGCTCAGTTTTAGGAACAAATGTTAGCTCTTTTTTTATTTTCAAATTACTTTAAAATATTCAAAATAAAGCCCTACCATGACCAAGGAAAGACAGAGTCTTTCACATTATGTACAGTGGTGAATGTTCATGCTTTTAGCAATTTTGTTGATTTTGAGATGTTTTTAGCATGCCAGTGATGCTCAGGAGATTTTGGGGATGAGCCAGAGACAAAAAAAACAAAAATCAGTCTTTTGCTCTTGTGTATCAGTAGGGTTTACTACAACCTAAAAATGGGTGGAACAAAAAGCAAATGGAGAAGAAGTTATTTATTTTGGTGCTACATTGTCAAAAATTACTCTAGGTAACACAATTTATTTTTGTTCTTCCCAATACACACACACACACACACACACACACACACACACACACACACACATTCATGCACTCTCCCTTTTAGTCACTGCAATAGCAAATTGCATTGAATGGGGGGAGCGATCAGGAAAAGGGCGTTAGCATTGTTGAACATTTAACTGAGCATTTACTCTATACTAAGCCCTCTGTTACTTAGTCCACATCTTCACTGGGGATGCCTACGTTTAGACATCAGGAAAGGCATGGTGAAGAAATATAGTCAAGATCTGGAGTTCTTAGGGAAGTCACATTTTTAAGTACGCTTCTTGGCTTGTGTCAGATCTGCTGCTGAGTGAAAGATGGGGAAAAAAAAGAAAAGGCAACTGCCCCTTACTCAGCAGCCTGTGTGCTTTCACTGGACTGTGGCCATCTTGAGTTATCCCCAGTCCTCTGGCAAGCTCTCACTGTGACCTTGCGACCACCGTTTGTGCCTTTATACAAAGCAGGGGCTGGTCCTGGCCAGGGAACTCTCTGGGTAGTCTTCTAGTAAAAGTCTTGTTCTCGTAAGAAAAATGGAAGTAGAACTCAACTCAAACTAGTTACTAGTTTCCATAGTTCTTTATTCTACAGGTGCATTTTCTATAACCTTCAAAATGTTCATATTGTTTTCCAAAATCCAAATGATTCTACTTGGAATAAACTACATGTCATCATCGATTTACTTTATTGAGAGAGTTGGAGAGCAGAGAACGGGAAGAATAGGGAGGAAGAAAGGAAACGAGCATTTATTGAGCACCAATTAGGTGAACTGTTAAGTCCTTGGACATGTTATGTAAGGCCTTGAAATCCCAGTGAGATATGTTTGTTTGTTTATCTAATTATACAGATGAAAACACTGAAGCCTAGGCAGTCTCGTTGGTCAGTGAGCTTGTTATCTCTGAGGCCAAAACCTGTGCCCTGTGCCCTGTGCTTCATATGGCATGATTGTGTTAAGGAGGGATAGGAGCAAGGGCTTCTCCCTTCCCTCTGAATGAAAGATGAGAGCTAGGAGCAGTGGCTCATACCTGGAATCACAGCACACTGGGAGGCCGAGGCAGGAGGACTGCTTCAGCCCAGGAGTTTGAGACCAGCCTAGGCAACATAGCGAGACCTAATCCTTACAAAAAAAGTCAAAAAAATAAGTTGAGGGTAGTGGCAAAAGCTTGTAGTTTTAGCTAGTGGGGAGGCAGAGATGAAAGGATCACCTGAGTCCTGGAGGTCAAGGTTGCAGTGAGCCCTTGATTGTGCCACTGCACTCCAGCCTGGGCAACAGTGTGAGACCCCCAACTCAAAAAAATAAATAAATAAAGAAGAGGAATTAAACATGAGATTCAAATGTCTAATGGCAATAGGTTTCAATAATTTGTACCATGTGACAACTTGCATACAACATATACATAGTGGCGTTGTCTTTTTTTTCTCTCTCTCTCTTGCTCAAGGTCAAAATCTCATTTTTGTTATTTCTGCTAAAGAATTCTTGGTTTGGTTTCCTTGTCTTTTCAAGCTTTTTAATACTATGGAGACAGGATGCTTTGAATAAAAGTCGTGGGGAGACATTGTAATATGAGGAAAAAGTCTCTTTTTAATAAGAAAATCAGGAGTGGCACTGTCCAGTAGTTTTATTTGTGTGGTTGATTTCATGTGTGGATTTTTAATTGGCTCATATATGAATAGGTGTAAAGATGGAAATTTTTTTCTAGAAACACTGTTGTATTCATCTCAATGTGGCCAGTTCTTTGAACCAGACAAAATCTGCAAAACTTCTAAAGAGAAGCTTGTCTTGACTTACATGATCTACACATCAGATGAGTCTCAAAAAATGTAATGTAAATGAACTCATGTTTTAGGTGTTCTGAAATTGCTGCTACACAAAGTCATTTCTTAGTGAATGAAAGACAGAGGAGATCATCTTTAAACTCCATATTTTGTGGATGAGAAAACCAAATGCCAGAGAGACAAAGTGACTTTGCCTGAGGTCACACAGCTCATTATAGCTCAGCTGGAGGACTGAGTTCCCTTGGAACTGGAGGACATTACAGTTCACTTTGTAGGACTCTCCAGTGCTCTTTCACTATCAGATCGCTATATATTGAATTCTGTTTAATGGATCATGAAATGTTCAACTCCATATCAGGCCCAAGTCTCTTTAGCGAGGAAGAGAGCTAGTAGATAGTTTTCTTCCTCTTAGGAAAGATGGAAGTATTCTGAACCTCTCATATCTGGTCTTACCTGGTTATAGGGGCGAGTGAGAGTTTATAGACAAAAGTGTGAAATGGATAGAAGCACTTCTTACCTAAAGAATGGATTCTTTAAGTCGAGGATGTTCTCAGATCTGAAGCCTGTTTGGTTCACCAGTGCCACGATCTGAATGTCATAGCTCTGTCTGCATGGCAGAGAAAAACACATCATGTCACAAGGCTGGTTAGCTATTTATGTACACCTGAGGCACCTTTCCCATGCTACTTCATGAAAGTTTTCAGAGTACGTGTTTGATATCTTGCATATATCCATGTGTGTTTATTCGGATGCCATTAATATTAGTAGAGGCAATTGAAAGTCTTGCTTATTCATTAGAAGAGCCTGATAGCTATAATTTCTTGATCTAAAAACAACAAAGGCAATGGTACTTCTGGTTAGTTAAAGCACTTTGTAGGGTTAGTAGGAGTTAGGAAGCTTTACTGACATCAGTGACAGAAAATGACAACAGAGATGCTTTATGAGTCCTCACTGAAATCCCGAAACAACCTTACTCATGGAAGGACTGACTGAATTAAAATCACAAACTGACCTAATAGCTAACAGATGTGACTGTTTTTAAGAGGCCTCAGATGAAGGCTCATGCAATTACAGTGACAGGAACTGGCTGATAAGAATAAGTAATATAACTATCTTTGATGACTAATCAGGAATCGTGTTGGTAGGAGTTTATTAGTCATTCTTAATAATATAAATATTTCTTCTGATTATAAGATGTCACATACTCACTGTAGAAAAACAAAGAAAAATATAAAGAAAATAAAATAATCCATGTGACACTAGACAAAGATTCATCCAGCTAACATTATAGAACATTTCCCTTTCATTTTTTTCTCTTTGTGTATTTGTAGATATAAATGTTTAGCAAAATAACGCTTCAGTATTACTTCATATCTTTCTTTGTTTTGAGTTGGAGTCTTGCTTTGTCACCCAGGCTGGAGTGCCATAGCACACTCATGGCCACCCCTGCGTTGCCCTGCTGGGCTCCAGCAATCCTTCCGCCTAGGTCTTGCCAAGTTGCCTGGACTGGTCTCAAACCCATGGGCTCAGGCAATCCACTTGCCTTGGCCTCCCAAAGCACTGGGATTACAGCTGAGCCACTGAGCCCAGCCTACTTCATATCTTCTTTTATTTAATCTAAGTGTTTGTCATATATCATACTTATTGAAAATGTAGTCATCAGTGGAATTATGTAAACATAGCAGTATTTAATTCCTCATTACTGAATATTTATATTATTATAATAACACATTACTTACTGTAACTAAAACAAAAACTTTTTTTTGGTCAGAAATGCCATAAAGGACCTGCTTGCAACAACACATCTTTATGTTCTATCTACAATTATTTCCCTGAAATAAATTGGAGGTAGATTTACAAGGCTAAAGCATATGAATGCATCTAAGGTTCCCAAAATTTATTGCTAAAATGTCTTTCAGAAAGTATATCAAATTACTTCCTCACCTACAGAGTATGAAATTGATAATTTCATTACACCTTTTCTAATCTTTAATAATTAAATATTTGGAGGTTAAAATATTATGGGTGGTTTTTGTTGTAATTTCCTTGATTATTAGGCTTCTTTTTAAAATTTCATAAATTAATGAGTGATATAAAGTCCTCCCTCCCCATTCCCACCTTGTCATTGCCAATAACATCTTAGCCTAAGCCTTCAGTGTGTATGTGAGTGTGTGTGCGTGGGGGGGCGCCTAGGGTGTGAATTGGTGGGTTCACTGATTTGACGGTGATTTGCCTGACCAAGAAGGGTGTGTCCTCACTTAGAATTTCAGGAAAATAGTGTACTTTAGTAGCAGTATTGTGTTAATGCCCAAGATATTCAGGTAAACCCCAAACCTAACAAAGTACAATGTTTATAAAGCAACCAATAATGGATAATCTTCCAAGACTGTGTCTACAGAATGCTAAATAACTATTATTAACAATTTTTTTGAACCAGTTATTTGACAATATGAAGTTTTAAAAAATTGTAGTTCTTTGTCATTTTAAACTTTACAGAGACAGAGCATTAAGTGGGAATGTACCTTAGTTCAAGGATTGAATCCCAAACCACCACTTTTATACCAACATTTCTTTTGCAATATCCAAGAAGATATTGAAAACATAGGAAAAACATATGCAGGACATGTATTTCTGAAGAATATGGTAATTCATGGTAATTTAGAACACAGAGGGTGCAAGAGTAGGACAGGTTTAGTGTTCACCATCAAGGATAAATGAGGTGGAAAAACAGAAGTGGCAGGAACCTTGGGAAAAAATGACCCAAGTCACTGAGGATTCAATGATAGATAAAGGAAGAAATGAAAGTCTTGACAGACATGGACTCTAGACCAGTGTTCTTCAAAGTAGTTTGTTCACCCTAGTGAGAGTGTTGGGATGACACACCAGGGTGTGGAAAAAATAATAAATGTTTTATAATTTTTTTGTTAGCTATAGTGGATTGAATTATGACTCTCCCAAAATATATGTTGAGTTTCTAATGACCAGTACCTCCCACTGTGACCTTGTTTGAAAACAGGGTTTTATAAATGTAACCAAGTTCATATGAGGTCATACTAGATTAGGGTGAACCCCAACTCCAATGACTGGTGTCCATATAAGAAGAGGAGAGGACACACAGAGATACACACAGGAAGAAGTCAATATGAAGATAGAGGCAGAGACTGGAGTGATGTAGCCACAGGAATGCCAAGAAACAGGTGCCATAAGAAGCTGAAGAACAAGAGGCAACTTCTTCCCTTGAGCTTTTAGAGGTAATGTGGCCCACTGACACTTTGATTTCAGACTTCTGGTCTTCAGAGCCGTGAGAGAATACATTTCTGTTGTTTTAGGCCACCCAGTCTCTGGTAATTTGTTATAGCAGCTCTAGGAAGCTAAAACAGTTGTTTACCAAATACATATTGAGTACTAGTGAATTCACTAGTGTCCCTGGACTCTCATCACCAACCGAGAGTTATTTGTTATATTCACCTAGCTTGTCAGGTTTTGCAAAGGCGGATGGTTCAATAAGGCTCTAATTACATCTTAAATCATGTAGTACAACATTAGTGAGTAAATACCAACTATGACATGGGCACGTGAGTCAGAGCGAGAAGAACTTGAGTAGCATTGTAGAACAAAAAAGATGTTGTCTAAAACTGCACCAGCACATTCAACTACTTCACCATGCCTCATTATGGACAATTTCCTCCCATGATTCCTTGTGATGCAACTGATCAAATATATAGCTATTGAGAGGTTTTATTTTATGTGATGTCCCAGGTAAAGCAGTTTAATGGAGACCATTAGAAATAGCACTTGAGGGCAATCCCCTTGGGTCCCCTTTCATTGTGGGGGCTTTTCTGTCCTCTCAATAAATCTTGCTTTCTCAAAAAAAAAAAAAAAAAAGTAGCACTTGGAGCTTCTAAAGCTTTAGTTTTTTGATCAGCATTTCTTTTAATTTTATGAAGCACAAAACCCATCAAACTCTGTCCAAACCAAATCCCCTGGCAAATCTGAGTAGAGCAGGCCATCACAGGTATCCAAAAATTTTAAGTAATGTTTCAAAATATTTTGGCATAAGATAAGTGACTGAGTTAGATCCAACACCCAGTCTATATTTATTTTTTCAGTGCATCCTTTTGATTTTGTGTGTCTTACAAAATATATAAGATATGAATTTCTATACATCCATATATACATAGATCTGTCTATGCACGTGTACATATATAGAGGCATGTATAGTATATCAGTATACATATATAGAGAAAGAAGAGAAAGAGAAGCTATTTAGTACTGAGCTATTACTGTAGTACATAATTAAGATTTTAAGTATATTGGTATACTTGGGAGAGACACACATGAAGTGATTTTATTCATAGGTGCACATGATTAAAAAACTTTTAAAAACCACTTCTGGACCTGCCTGGGCAACTTGGTGAGACCTCATCTCTACAATAAATTAAAAAAAAAAATTAGCCGGGTGTGGTAGCGTGCACCTGTAGTTCCAGCTACTTGGAAGGCTGAGGCGGAAGGATTGCGGAAGCCCAGCAAGTCAAGGCTGCGGTGGCCGGGAATGGTCACTGCACTCTAGTCTGGGTGACAGAGTGGGACTCCAACTCAAAACAAACAAACAAACAAACAAAACCACTTCTGAAAACTTTAAGGATATAAATTTTATAAAGTTCATAAAAAGCTAGATTCTATGTTATTGCCAGAGCAATAAAATGAATGACAGCTCCAGAATGATGGGAGGCTGTCAAAAATAAAATGTTAACAATACAATCATAAATGGTCTGGCTGAGAAGAAAAGGGCAGTTATTGTCACACCTGTGTGGCTGCATAGGGAGTTCTCCCAAGAGTTCAGAGTTTAAAAGAATATTTGACAATAAGGGAGGAGGGGAGATACTATTCAGGGCAGTACAAAGGGACAGCACTTAACAGAAAAAAATTGCACAAAATACTGACATTCAGGAAGTACTGAGGCTTTTAGAAAATACCAAGCAAGACAAAAATGTTAAAACAAAAAAATATAAAGAGGTACATTGAGAGTAAGAAAGAGAGTAAAGGAAGAGGAATTGGAACTAAGAGCTACTGTGGGCTTACTGTGTGTTAATCACTATACTATATTCTCTCTGTTTAATGTTTGCAAAGGCATGATGAGATAATGATTATAAATGCTAATTCACAGATAGTGAAGTAAGAAAACTGGGATGCTAGAGAGATTCATTAACTTGCCCACGATCACTCCAGTGCCAACCAGTATATAAAGAGACTGGACAAAACCAGGACACAACAGACTCCAAAACCTGGTCTCTTTTACCACACGAGGGTGCTGATCTGATAAGATAAAGAACTTTCCCTTTCCCTTCCTTTCTTCCCCTTGCAAAGTATTGTGTGTCCACGATATCTTAGCTGCTTCTTTCAATTTGGTCTACGTCCTTAATGAGAGAGGGATCATCAGCTCATGACGCTTTCATTCAGTTAGTCATTTCATACCATTGCTGTCTCTGAAATGTATTAAGTGAGAAGGGATACATCATAGAATAAGACTCAGTCCCTCTTCTCAGAAAGCTCACATGTAGGCAAATTATTGCACAACATCAGTGCTGTAACAGAGGTATGGAGGGCTCTAGGAGCTGTGGGAGTCATGAGGCAGGTGTGTGAGGCAGATGGGGAAATGAAGGAGAGAAGGGTAGAAAAATATTACCAGGAAGGATGAAACCCAAGATAGGTCAGAAGAAAGGAATGGAAGAATAAGATGATTTAAATTCATTCACCTAATTACACCCTAAGAAACTTAAAACAATTTAAATATCTCAAAGCAAAAAAAAAAAAAAAAGTTATCCTGGTTTGCAAATTGCAAAAAAGGTAAAGTCTAAAACTCCAGACAAATGTTGGCTATTGCTCCTTTGAACTTTTTTTCCTTTCTTTTTTTAAGAATTGGTCGTTAAACAGATGGTTCCTAAGGATTTAGAAAGAAAATGGTAACTTCCAGGATGAACATGGCATAAGTCAGCATTTTCCACTTTTCCTCCTGGAAGCCATCCAAAAGCAAGGAGAAAGATCTGCAGATGGCAGACCTCATTTTCTGTAAAACCAGGAGAAAGATATAATCTTCAGTCGTCAACATATATGTAAGGGCTGAAGATGCAGCTGAGATTGGTGATAAGTCACATGGGAAGAGGTACAAAAGAAGTCCAAAGAGTCACAAGAGAGCCCACGGACAGTACTTCTCAGAAAGCGCTTCCAAAAATACAGCACCTAAAGGTAAGGAGTATTTTCTGAAATGCAAGAGGTACATTTCTTGTTTGTAACATCTTGAGCAAGAATTGGGGTTAGGAGGGCTTTGGGCAGAAATGCTCCTGGAACTGAAGCGTGGTGAAACTACCTAAAGAAAACAAGAGGAGCCAGTCCTACAGGAAGCAGTGTGACTCTGAGGCAGCAGAAAAGGAGAGAGTTAAGAAAAACTGATAGCATGAAGACTGTCACGTCTCTTCCTGCCATAGGAACTTTATCCTGTGAAAAGCTACCCAGAAAAGTTTCACAATTTGTTGATGAATGAAAATAACATCAAAATAATAAGGGAGAGGGAGATTTATTTTCAGAAAAATGTAAAAAAAAAAAGTAGTAAAATTTACAAACACATGAAAAACACACATCAGATCAATGGTGCCATGGCATAGACAAAAAATGTGAGCAAATATATTGTCACAGATTTTGAAACCATACTGAAGACCTCACCCCTATAGAGAAAGTAATAACTTTTAAGAAGGAAGACCATGATGCAGAAATACAATAACTCAAGGAAGAGAACAAGAAAGAGCTCAATGTGCTGATATGGAAATGCCTTTGAAACATATTAAGTGAAAAAATTAAGATGCAGAGAACAGATATTTAAAGTTATAATTTAGGTATAAAAGCAAGGGGAAAGAAATAAATTCCTGCTATTGCTAAGTTTTTAAATTGTATATCCAGACTTAAACTCTAAAAGGTTATGCAAAAAACTGTAACTGTGGCTACATGATGGGGGTGGACGAGGGGCACAAGGGGGGTCCACAAGAGGAAGAAGACTTTTCATTAAATATCTTTTTATGTTTTCTTCTATAAATGGTGTGACTGTATTATCTTTCAAAAAATTAAATAACCCTTTAAGGAGCTAGAAAGGCATAATATCTGGAGACCTAACACAGTTTAATTAAGAAAGTAATGACATTTATGTCCAATTAATCTTCTTTCTTTCTTTTTTTTTTTTTTTTAGCAGGGTTATTGGCCTGGGTTAAGACAGTGAAATCAGAATGTAAGTGTATCTAGATATCACATTTGACAAAGGTCGGGTCATATTTTCTTCTGACCTGGATGGAGGAATATAGGCTGGGTATGAATACAGGTGGGTGGATTTTTGAACTACTTCCATGACCAAATCCAAAGGGTGTAAATTAGTCTGGATATATGCAGATTTTGAAGGAAGATTACATCCTTGGCTTTTTTCTGCTCTCTCTCTCTCTCTCTCTCTCTCTCTCTCTCTATATATATACATATATATATATATTTTTTTTTTTAAAGATATGGGGTATCATTCAGGGTTAAGTATACAAGTAGTCATCATACAGGTAAAGTTTGGGCCTCCATTTGCTCCCCACTTCACCTGGTTTGAGATCAGGTACCCTTATTGATGTCAATATGTTTAAAATAAAAATTTTCCTATTAAATTTGCAAATGATATAAAATGATAGGAATCACTAATATGCTACACAAAAGAATTTTTAAAATAAATAAAATCATCCATCAACTCTAACAAAGACCCTCAAACAGAAGAGGAATACATAAATGGAATAAATACAAAAATGTATACCAAAGCTGATGAAAATCAGCAGCATACTTGGAAAAGGGAGAAAACTGATTTAAAAGTAAATGACATGAAAATACATTTTTTAGTTTTAATTGCCTATATACTCAATTTGAATGTAATTTAAATTATATTATTATAATTCAAAACAACAGTGGCTACTATTGTTGTATACCCAAAACTTATCAGAATATACATGCTGTCCTGTATTTAGTTCCAGGAAAATGTTTCAAAAGGTGGCATTGATGACCAGGGAATTTTGGAGAAAAGAATTTAGAATTTCAAATGATTTCAAAGTCATTCTTATAGACTTTATAGGCAGGAGTTGAGAATGTTAGCCTATAAATGTAGAGACCACGAGGACATTTAAAGGTAGGACTTTCCAAATATTTGAGCAATCACCTTTAGAGGCTCAACTGACCTAATTAACTTGAATTCAGAAACACAACTAAGGTCAATGAGTAGAAATTATAGGGAGTAAAGCCTAGGATCAACAAGAATAATTTTTCAATAATTGAAGATGTGGAAAGTGTGACACATTAATAGCCAATTACTATATTTAATGCCACTTAAACTTATCAATAGCAAATCAAAGCAACTAGATGCTACTTTAAAATTGGGGTGGGGAGAGTCTATCAGACTAAAAAAAATCACATATCTCCAGTTTAGGGAAAGATATGGCAAAATGAACATGTTTACCTGCTGCTGGTGTGAGAAGAAATTGGTGCAATTATTGAGAAATGCAGTCTCTTTTAGAGCATGACACATGCCATGTACATGTTTTAATACAGTATTTCCATGTCTAGGCATCTCATTTGGAAATACTCATGTCACTGCACAGACTGCATGTTCAAAGACATGTGTTGAAAAATTTTTTGTAATAGCAAAAAATTAGAAGCAACCCAAATATCAATCAATCAGGGATTTTAAAAAAAGGCATTATGGTATATCCATTCTCTAGACTATTATGCATGTGTTAAAAAGGACAAAGCAGATCTATTTGTAAAGATCCAGGACTTGTTACTAAGCAAAAAATTAATTCACAAACTGCTAGTGTAATATTCTTGTCAAAACAACAACAAACTCCACAACAATGTTATTTGTTGGTACATAGAAAATCACCTGGAAGTACACAAATCAAACATTTACATAAGGGGAGTAGGGTGAGGGGTGAGAGGGTAGGAGGGTTCTATACATTTTTATAGTTTTGAATTAATATATGAGCATGTCAGGTTTTTGTAATTAAAGAAATAAGGATGGAAACAAATGGAAAGGCTGATTTGTGAGGTAATGAGCTTGCTGTCACTATAGTAGTCAAGCTGATCCAAGGAAGATTGAGAGGTAGGAAGAAAAGAAAGGTGAATGAGATAACCTCTGGGTAGCCTTAATACTTATAACCACTTCCTCCTCCTCCCTCCTCTAACTCACACAGCAGAAACTCAAACAAAGTGAAAGAAACAGAGCATTTAAAAAATGAGATAAATCATGGTAACTGCTGCAGAGACCTCATTAAATCCATCACCACAGGGAAGCAGCCAGTCCTTCCTGACACACCCTAGACTGCCTCTGAAGTACTTTTTTCCCCTGCAGTACAGATCAATTTTATTGTAATAAATGTGGGGGTGTGTAGCTAAACTGATGTAGGTAAGTCCAGGAAGCTGACACAGGGTTTAAACCCTTAATCGTTCAAATCTTTGACAAGTACTCCCATGAGAAACTGGATTTCTTTCCTCCTTCAGTGGTCAGGTGGAGAACACTATCCTTGAGTTATCAGATGCTCCTCTTTCTTGCCACACTCAGTGCAAGGATGAAATTTGCCCTGCAGGCTTTGTAGCTGAGGGTACCTGTGCAAACTCAGCCAGGCCTCTGTTAAGCTTACTATCCATGAGTAGGTGCTGGAGCCTCAGGGGCCTGCTAGCTTCCTGCCTTCTCTCAGTGCCCAGAAAACAGAAGGAAAAGTGCGTCTGGACTTTCTTGCTTACCGTTTATTAGCTACAAACAGCACTTTCCCTGAGAGAGTCTCCCCTTCCTTGGCGAAGAGAGGAGTCTGCAGGAGGCACCGCACCTGATACCAGTGAGTCAGAGGCTCGGTTGGGGCTGTGGACAGCCAAACTGTTACCCTGTGGGGTGAGAAAAGAGTTAAAAGTCAATTACCTGCCATGCCCACATTACTGAGTTAAAAGCCAATTACATGCCATGCTCACTTTCCTGGGTTGGGCTGGAGACTGAGTTTGACTCGTGTTTTTGTTCTTTTTGACTCATGGAACACTTTGAAGATAAGGACAGTTTAATTTTTGGGGCAAGTGCCATGTGTTGGGTACTGAACTAAGACTTCATGTAGCCTATCCCAATAAGTTTATACAACAGCCCTAGGAAGTATGCCCAGAGGGGTTAAATGATTTGCCCAACCTTATACAGAGGACAATTAGAAAGCCAGGCTTCAAACTCATAAATTTGGCCACCTAGTATTTGGCCACCAACCTGTATTTCTGAATCAAAGTTCATTAGAAGCCCAATAAGTCACAGGGTTAAATTAGAAAGTGATTTGTTTGAAAAGCATAGCAAGGAGAGAAGTCTGGAGTCTATCTTCTAATTTGATTTGCGTCAACCTACTCAGGGTTCTGAAACAGTTTCTGGAAGCAATAAAAATTACTGGAGCCGATGGCCTTTACTGTCCTTCCAGCTCAGACATGCTACATGTGTTTGTATGTGTGTTAAACCGGGGTTCTTCAGGTCATAAGAAGAAAGAAGAATATTTTACTTTCCACCCAACACTGAGGACACTTGTCCTAGGGCTGGGCAGTTGTTGCTGACTTGTGAGCAAGGGACACATTAAACATGGAGCAAATTCCTAGAGGGTCCATTTTGACTTGAAGATTAGGGGGAAATTTTTTATATCATCTAACTTTTGTATCAAAATATATTCAGATATGGCATAGAGTAGAATGCAAATTATACATCATATATATAATTATATATATGATAAGTAATTTGATTTTAAAGAGACTTCCCCCTTGAGGTAGACCACTTCAAGCTTGTCTCCCTTACCCTTGGAGGAACAAATGTGTTTACATGGGATATTACCTGGGGGAACAAACGTATAAATTCCTTGAACAAACATGCTTGTATGGAGTAGGAATGAAATATACATCATTATCTTTCTCTCTTACTGTCAGCCTTGACACGGTTTCCAGGGATCCCTTCCTCCCCTGAGTACCCCACTCCCCTAAGCCTTATCACAGCCCCGCAGGCAATTCTTTCTAAGCAGGTACAATGATAAGCCTGGACATTCTTTCAAGGAGTGGAGGAGAGTACACTGTAAAAGTTTTCCTTTGCTGGTGCCTGGGCACATCCCCTAGACCAAATCTCTTTGCTAGCTGGAACACGCAAGGCATCCTGGGAAGAGAGCAGGGAAGTCAGGAAGAGAACAGAGGCTTGGGGGCCATGGGGTGGTACAGTCCATAAAAGGAACACCAAACATTGACAGCCAACTTATAGGTGGTCTTTCTTCTATTTTTCCCGCAACTTTCAAGCCTGTGCAGTAGGGGGGAAAGGAGTGCACAGATGGAGAAGTTTCCTAATGTTGCAGTTTGCAGTAGTAGTACAGGTCTGCCTGATCATTAAGGGATTCCAGAGTGTGAACCCAAGTGAGGAAAAGTATGATTCAGGATATTACCCAGATACAAGAGCTTGTATAGTAAGATGTGTCAGAAACAAAGACGGGGGCTTGGGGTACCACCACATGTAGTCTAGAAAAGACAAAGAAGGTTGGTAAAACACAAACCCTCTCTCACACCTTCAAAGCTCAATTCATTTGGTTCTAGAGGCCTTGTGTATTTTAACTGGAGCTGAAAGGATGCGTGGAAACCCGTCTTATTTCCACTTTATCCTAAAAATCTAAAAGTAACATTAACATCTGCGTTTATTTCCCTGAAGACTGGAGAAGCAAGTATTCGTGTTGTTGAAATCAATTCCTAAACACTTTAAAATTGTGACTACAGATGATGAGGAACAACACTATGGGCTAGAGTAGGCTACGAAGGGTTGGGGGTGGGGCATACGTACAGAGACCCAACAAAGGCCACATCAAACCAGAACGCCAGGCCATGGACGAGGCCAGACTGAGCCAGTTGAAACACAAAGGGAATTTCTACTCTGCAAGAAAACAAAACAAAACAAAAACAAAAACAAACAAAAAGAGAAGAAATACTTGGAATTATTTTTGTTGTTGACAGATATACCAGATATATTTGTGAATTTAGTGGGAACATTCACAGAATATTTTCTGTCTCTCTTAAGTACTTTTGCCTTGGCAGCAAAATTCTCCCAGTGTGTGATTAATGCTTGGGTGATGCTGCACATTTGAGAAGCTTGCTTCTTGACAAAAGCCTGCAAGAAAACACTACTGTGCTGCAATGACCCTAACTGCACAGGGTGAGTGTAGTATCTGGAGTTGGGTTTGACTACTGGAGAGAAGAATGACCTAGGACACAGGTGATAGCCATCCTTCAAGAAGTCAAAACATGGGTGGTGGCAGTTCCCCTGTGCAGTTGCTCACCTCTAAAACATAAAGTGGACCACAAGGGGAACGTCAAGCTTAGAAGGTCATTGTCTTAGTTTATTTCTTTTTCAGGCAGGCAATTTAACTTCCCACCAGGCTATAACAAGAATCTTGCAGAAGTGGCTATGGTTTATGCCAAATGCAGAATAAGCAGGAATAGAAAGAATATTTGAAAAGATTCAACGGAATCTAGATGCTTGATGTATTTTAGCTGTGGAACCTTAGAAAGTCACTCAAATTATCTGAAACTCAGTATCTTCATTTGTTGAAGGGTTATAAAATTTGTCTTTTATTTCCCTCATAAGGTTCTTGTGCATATCAAATGGAAAAAAAAATATATATATATACATATATATAGAAAGAAAGAGAGAGAGAAGCTTTGCAAACTTTAAAGTGTTTCATAATTAAAAGGTGGCATCAATAAGTCCATTGCTGTCTTAACTTTCTTATCCCCTAAAGATATGAATATTGATCTTCTAAGGAAGAAGAGGGCAAAATATTACTGAAAGGTCACCCAGAGGCAATTCTTATTACCATCTTTAAAAAAAAATGGAATCAAGTCAAGCCATGAGTCGTTTCAAGTGGAGGAAAAGAGGACAAAAACTAACATTTATTAAAAGCCTATGGAGCTGTATTTCCTTAAGTGCTCTCAAGGTTTTCAAAGAAGGTTGTATTTTACTTACATTCGTGGTGCTCCCAAGACAACTTATTTCACCCTGCAGCCATTAGAATATTTCTAAATTTTTCCATTGTGTGTACCACATTGAATTTATTGGTCTTGTATTCATCATTTGCATTCATCTAAATGGACTATGAGCTCCTCAAGGACGGAAACTTAAAAAATGACTTTTTGTACCTGCACAAGATGCAGCATAGTACCTGACACAGTAGGATCTCAATCAACATTTGCTGAATCAATGCACAAATGAATGAATGACATCTCTGGAAAACCTACAATAGACATACTTTTTTGAAAAACTCCCTAGGACTCAGGAGGTAGTCCAAAGCAGCAAATAAAGCTAATGAAAATCAATTTTGTCTGGACTTTTGGTATTTAATAGAGTTGTTCTCAAATGGCAGTTCTCTTGCTCTGAGCATATGGAGTTTCTCCAACCACTTGAGCTCAGGAACTACCACATGATTTGCTTTCGCTAAGAATGAACAGAAGTGACTTATGCCACTTTCAGACAGAAGCTTTAATTGTTGTTGCATACTTTGCCATGCTCATTCTTCCTCCTCCGTGACAGCGTTGTTCCAGATAGAAGCTGCCGCATCAGCCCAGTTACTGGTATGGGTTGTGTGTGGTGAGGTAAAACTACAGCTGGTGTCCAATGGATAAGTAGTGTAAGGGAGTGAGGCACCTGTGTGATTAGAAGCTAGTGAAGTCTCTTTTTGTCACTGCAGCATGTTCTAACCTATCCTAACTGTTAAAGAATATTCTCTGTGCATCATCTCAAGGATGAATGATTTTTTTTTTTTTTTAGTTAGCCAGCTGCACCTTCTAAATTCTGACCCTTGCTTCCTTGGGAGCTCCAGGAAAACAACAACCTGGTTGAATTTCAACTTTCTCTAGAAAATAATATCAATATTGATCTTCTAAGGGAAAAAAGGGTAAACTATTAGTGAAAGTTCACCCAAAGGGGATTCATATAACCATATAAATAAATAGAATCAACTGAAGGCATGAGTCCTCATTTTAGGGTCTTTCCAAGTAGAAGGAAAGAGGAAAAAACTTTTCTTGAATACCCTCTTTAAAAATGAGCCTACAAAACACTTAGCATGCTATATAATATATAGTAAGCACATAAGTTGTGACTTTTTGCTTGTCATTATTGCATGCACTGGCTTGCGTGCATTCACGCACATGCTTTCACTTTAGAGACATTAAAGCAGAGTGGTTAAAAGGGCAGACTTTGGAGTCTTCTGAAAGGTTCAAATCCTCGCTCTAACACATCTCTTAATTCTGTGATCTTATGCAACCTATCATTCCATTCTGCCTTATTCTTGTCATCTGTCAAATGGGGACAACAATAGTATCATTCACATAGGATTGTTGTGACAATTAAATGAATTATTATATATAAAGGACTCAGAATAGTGGCTGTATAAGTATGAGCTAAGTAATGATTATTTAATTTTTCTCATTCAATTCATAAAACAATATTATGAAGGAGACATCATTATCCTCATTTTGCAATAAATGAAACTAATATTGATGCATCATTCCTGCATGTAACTCACATCTAAAACTCTTTTTCTCATGTGAGCAGCAAAAGTCTGCACTGAAGTTTTGTAGGCGAGAGATGTGGAGAGGGGATTTTAAACATCAAGAGAAACACTGATTTGTACAAACCTGTGTAGATCTTCTTCTTCTGCATCTATAAAATTTACTGTGTATTTGACTGTCCGAGCCATCAAAATCCTAACGTCAAATGTGTCCTTGGAGGAAAAAAAAAAATCAAAGATGTTATCTTTCTGTCAAGATAAACTGAACGCAAGCAAATTTGCAGTCTAGCTTTCTTCTTGTACTTTTAAGTCATTGAGAGTTAGATTTAAAAGGTACGTGCTTACAGAGAATGGTATTAATAATATAAACTTACGTGTACTGGGAACTTATTATATGCTAAGCACTACATGGTTTGTGCTTTAGTAAGTGCTAGGGGCTCTAGGTTGTGGTTTATAACATTACTTTTTAAAAAGTATCTGGAGCAGGCATTTGGCTTTTTTTTTTCCTATTGAGAATTTATTCAGGGGTGAGGATTCATCTCTTCCCTACATTCTATCCAGAAGTTTCATATGAACTTAGTTCATCCTTAGTAACACGTGTGGCATGGGTCCCCAATGTGACCAATCAGAATATCACTTCCCCCCTGAAGACATTGACTGTTTCATAGATGGGAACAGTAGCCACGGTATAGGATAGTCAGGCTCTATCTAAACTAAATTTAGTGATTTTGCCTAAGTTGTCAGGAAAAGGCAGATTCTTCAGCAGAACTCAGAGCTGTAAGAATCAGAGGCTGGGGCTTCTGCAGCTGTCTTGCTACCTGAGGGGAGAAACTGTCTAGGAACAGAGTTAAATCAGAAGAAGTAGGGACAAGTGATGAGGAGAGAATAATCAGGTCCTGGCCACACTGTTGAAACCCCTGCAGATCCCTGAAGCAAACTCTATCTTTAGGTTTCACAATTGTTTTTTTGAGTTGGAGTCTCACTCTTGTTGCCCAGGCTGGAGTGTAGCGGCACACATACAGCTACTACAGCCTCAACCTGCTGGACTTAGGCAATCCTTCCACCTCAGCCTTCCAAGTAGCTGGAACTACAGATGCACACCACCATGCCTGGCTAGTTTTTGTGATTTATTGTAGAGACAAGGTCTCACCAAGTTGCCTAGGCTGGTCTAGAATTCCCAAGCTCAGGTAATCCTCTCACCTCGGCCTCCCAAAGTGCTGAAATTACAGACTGAGCCACTGCCCAACCTAGGCTTCACAATTTTTGAGGGATAGTCATTCATTTTAGCTTAAGCCAGTTAAGTTTGGGTTTTCTTCTACTTAGAACTGGATGAATTTCAGATGATACAAACTTAAAGTTGCCCAAGTTTACACAGCTAGATGAGGCCACAACTGAAATTCAAATCTAATGAACATTAAAACTCCTGCTCTAAGCGATTATACAATGTTTCCTCTTCTATTATACTTTGGACCACTAGAATCAATGAGAAGATGTAAACAAATGTAAGAGTTGAGTGTATATATGGGGTGGGTCAGGGCAGTGGGAAACTAGATGTTACTTATTGAAGGGTAGTCAGAAAATCTCCTTGGTTTCAATAATATCATTCTCTGATAATTTTCTTTATGATTGGCAGATAAGAGCTGGAAGACTTGAAAACATGGTGCTCCGAGAAGTAATTTATCCTTGTCTATGACAGCTTAGCACCTAGCAGCACAGTGCATACTAGGCGAATGAGTGAATGAATCAATATATAGACACATGGGAGAAACCCTATAAAGAGAGCATACTTACTACTATTGGCTGTCTGAAGTACTCATCCACAGCTGCACCCCGGAGGCTGGATAGGTTGACCCCATAGAAGCACTGCTGGTACCTAAAATAGTTAGTGTGAAGAACCACCATGTATCTTGTCCCTCTTCTGAGTCCCTAAATCCCCAATGGCTGTGATGTGCTTCTGGGCTGCTTTATGGGTCCTCTAAGTTAGCCCTGGAGAGAGTGTTTGAACATGTAAAAATGGTCTATAGGGATTGGCAGAAGATTCTCTCTAGAAAAGCTACAGACCTGTACTTGACCTGGGGCAGGAAGAGAGAGAAGGGGAGAGGTAGTTGAGTTGAAAGAAATCACTTGTGTGGAAACTATTGGAAAGGAGAAGGATATTTAGGGGCAGGAAGTTCTCTGTGCTCCTGCCCTTGATCTTATGCCCCACAGGTGGCTTCCTGCTCAGTGTTGTCAAAGTGCTGAAATGCAATTTCCTTGGCCTTCTCACTATCCCAACCCCGAGCAGGACTTTAGATTTCCATAGTTTCTTGACACTACTGCTGTTTCAGGAAATAGATTTCCCTTTTCTATTTTCCCATAGCCACTGGCCTTCACCTTTATGATGGCATTTGCTGTGCTGGTGGACACCAAGCAGCGAGACACAGGTGAGCAAGGGCTGTATCAGATGGTGAATAGAAGCCAGGTCATATTAGCATATCAGAGCCCACAGTGCATGTTTCTCTGAATTCCACGGTCAGTGACATCTGAACCACAGACACTGGCGAACACTACAAGTCATGTCTCCACGACTTCCTTACCCAGAGAGCCAGATGTCAAACATTTACACCACTGGCACTGTCTTATCTTCACATACCTGTTGCAACTCAGACCATACCTGGGGCATAGTAAGTACACTCTGTGTCAGCCTGGATAATGGTCTTGGATATTTAAAAAGGTGATCTAGGGTGTGGATTGAGAGTGGTTTTGATTCCAGCTCTGCCACTGATTAGCTGTGTGATTTGGACTATTCTAACTTTGTGTCTCAGTTTCCTTATCTCTAAAATGGAAACAGTTATAAGCTTACTTTATAGGATTCTTGTAAGGGTTACATTAGTAAATTTTTTTAAAAAGCACTTTAAACAATGCTTGGCATTTTGTTACTACTATGTAAGTGTTGGCTAGTATTTTATGATTGTCACCTACTCAGATCAACAATGGGGACTAGGGCACTATAGTTCCCAATCTGACTGTGTGAGGGAATCCTAGGGAGGACTTGTTAAATATCCAGATTCCCAGGCCCAACTTCAGAAAGGCCTGGGAACCTTATCATTAGAGATGAAAAGACTTTATCCCTCATTAAGCTTCCTTAATAAGGGTGTGTGTGTGCACTGCATAGTCTGTGAACCAGTTCCCATCCTCCCCCAAACCCACACCCACCAACCTACAGAGAAGAAGAAACAAAATACCGAAATATGGAATACGCATTTTAAAAATTGTGGTATGGTTAGATTTTGATGAAAGGTTCAGCCAAAGTAAGGTTCTAAATGAATAGTCAAGGTCTCAAATATCCTGGCAGGCAGCAGTGAGAGGGTAGGCCTAATCCTATTAAGCCAGCAGCCAGTCCTCAATACACGTGAACCTGAGCCCCACGGAACCTCTCGTGGATTCTCACAGGGCTTGTGCCATTTCTCACCTCTGAGCCCTTGGTGTTTTCCCCTCTGTCTAGAATGCCCCTTTTGCCCTGTTAATTCTCACTTAATCTTTAAGACTCAGTTCAAACATTTCTATTTAAAAATTTAAAACCTTGTGTTAAAATTAAATATTTATGTTTCACTCACTTAAAAGCCAAAGTATTTTCTTATTCATCAGGGTATATTTAGCCATCAGCATGGGACCAGGAATATTGTTAGGGCTAAAAATATCTATATTATTTAATGAATGAATTCATCAATGAATACATTGGAGGACTTGGTGTCCTAAATGGCCCTATATGTGAGCACAGGCATCAATAAGAATGATGAGGAAATGGAAAAAATCATTTCCCCAAGTTTCTTCAGCTTTATTACTTGCTTTTTAATCTTCTCCTTCCACCAAGAACCAGAGCAAAGCAGGCCCACAAGTAAAACCAAACAGAGTTGCACATGATTTTATAAATACATATATTGGCTAGGCATGGTGGTTCATGCCTGTAATTCCAGCACTTTAACAGGCTGAGGTGGCAGGACACTTAAGCCCAGGCTAGGCTACATTGCGAAACCTCATCTCTACAAAAAAATGAAAATAAAAAAGTCAGGGCATGGTGGCATGCACCTGTAGTTCCAGTTACTCGGGAGGCTGAGGTGGAAGAATCACCTGAGCCCAGGATATCAAGGATATGGTGAGCCATGATCATGCCACCGCACTCCAGCCTGGGCGACAAAGTAAGATCTGCTCCTATAATCCCAGAAAATGCTTGAATACCATAGGTATTCATAAAAATAGCCTTTTTAATATTTAGAATGAGGATGGGAGTATTCTTGGGGAAACAGTCATTGTCACAAAAGCCTATTATTTGAAGGAAAGAGAAAGGGAGGGGTGGGAGGGGAAAAAGAGGGAGAGGGAGAGAGGGAGGGAGAGAGAATATTTCCCTCTTAGCCTAGAAAGTCTCAACTCTATTTTTTAAAATTTACTGGGAGACTTTTAAAATGTAATGATTCCTGGTCAAAATTTCTCTAAATGGTGGCTTATATGATCTAGGGTATAGCCCTGATGCTTGTTCGTTTCTAAAGCTCAACAGGTGATTCTAAAGTGCAACCAGGGTTGGGTACTAAGTTATTAATAGTTGTTGTAGATTCCTGGCCAAATAGGTGAAAGAGAAAAACCTAAGGGCAAAGAGAGTCTTCTATGGCCATGACAGGGCTGGAAATTGCACTCTAGTCACTGAATACAATCTCAGCTTTCAGAGGGGATGTGCCTGTGCCATTTACTTTGCGTGTTTGGTACCAATTAAAACCCAGCAGCCACAATCAGTGTGGTGCAAATGGGCACCATTTCTGGGGCAGATGGGAGCGCTGTGGGCAAAGAGCCCACTGCCTGGGTTTAAACAAATTTCTGGTTGGAGCACATTTCATATTTCTAATTCTTAGAAATCTCAAATAGCCTTCTGTAATGCATCATAAAATAACTAGGACAGATTGAAACTGGCATCTCTCTGGGTCCCAAGATACACTGTGGGGGTGTGGATGAAGAAACGAGTCTGTTGACTTGGGAGCTAGGGATTGTTTCCATTGTTTTCATCAGATGTAGGTTTTATTTTCCAAGTTAACTTACAGCCTCTTTATGAGCACACAAAGGAAAGAGTCTGTGTGTTTTTCCCCCTGAGTTTACATTTACAATTCCCACCATTCTCCTTCACATGGGAACATCACCATCACTACCATAATACATGCAACATCTGGAAAGGCCTGCAAATACAGTCCAGAAGGAAAGCAATTTTACTATTACCTATTCCTAAACATATCCAGAGTACAGAGGATGAAGCAACCCATGACCCATTATGTTTATTCTACACTCTCCATACAGCCTAGCTTTGAGAGGTATCTAGAGGAAGTCCCTTTCCTGGTCTCTTTTGGTGTTCTTATAGTTTCTGCTCGAGTTCACCTTGGCCTTTTGTCCTCCCTATTCCTTTTTCCACATCTCCCCTCCCTACCATGACTTGGACCCATGTTAGAAGGATGGTGGCACAACCTCAGGCTTTTTCGTAGATGCCAGCATTGGTCTTTCAAATGCAATAGAGGGGAGCTTCTCTAACACATGCACACCTTTCTCCTGCTAATGTGAACTCCCTCTCTCGTAGCCCAACTCAGAAATTTTACTTTAAATATAATATTTGCATCTTTAATCTATTCTAACAAAAAAATCTACTCATCCTCATTAATACGTTTTCTTTCTTTAAAAATAAAGGAAATAAAGGGAAGCAAGGAAGGGAGGAAGATAGAAAGATAGAAAAGAATGAGAGAATGCAAACAAGAGAGGATGGGGGGAAGCTTGTTATGCTTTTTGACAATTAAGCAACTTTTGTGTCTTAATGTGCTATGCTCTACCGGAATTAACAACCTGTAGTACACGAACCTGATAAGAGACATATGTAACTTTAAGAACAAGAAAACAAAAGCAAGGATCTAAGAATGTCACCCAAGCCACAAATGGTGCTGAAAAGGCAGCATAAGAGCATGGTTGAGAGTTCTTGTAGGAGAAGGTATATGTCTAAGGAACAAATTGTATTTGCATTTAATTTCTTATACATTCGTTAGAGATAACAGGACTTGAGGCTTGATTGTTTTGACAATTTTCTTTCCTTTATAATTAAATTCTTTGTGGTTATTTTATTTATTTTCTGTGTGAAGTTTGGTAAGAACAGTTACTCTGAGATCTGTCCTCTTACCACATTTTAAAGTATATGACACAATCTTTTCTGACTATAGGCACAATGTTGGACAATGGACCTCTATAACTTATTCATCTTGCTTGACTGAAACCTTATGGCCATTGATTAATGACTGCCCATTTTTCTCTTTCCTCAGCCACTGGTAATCATCATTCTACTGTTTGAGTCTATGAATTTCACTATTTTAGATACCTCATACACATGGAATCACACAGCATCTGTCTTTCTGGTACTGGTTTATTTCATTTAACACAATGTTCTCAAGGTTCATTTATGTTTTTGTTTATTGCAGAATTTCCTTCTTTCCTAAGGCAGAATATATTCTAGTGTGTGTAAATAGCATATTTTCTTTATCCATTCATGTGTTGATAACCACAGGCTGATTCCATATCTTGGCTATTGTGAATAGTACTGCAATGAACATAAGTATGCTAAAAAATCTCTTCAAGATCCTGATTTCAATTCTTTTGAATAAATACTCAGCAGTGATATTGCTGGAGAATATGGTAATTTTGTTTTTAATTTTTGAGGAACCGCCATATTGTTTTCCATAGTAAGTGAATCATTTTTCATTCCTGTTAACAGTGTATAAGGGTTCCAATTTCTCCACATCCTCACCGACACTTGTATTGTGTTTTAAAATAACAGCCATCCTGAAAGGTGTGAGGTGATATCTCACTGGGATTTTG